ACCTGAACCTAAAAAAAAATCCTCCAAATAACTTAGTAAACCGGTATGCCACGTGTCAGCCACGTCATTAATTATTGACGGAAAATTAACACCGTTTACAATTTTGGTGAAATTGGCCGCATTTCAATATTTCATGTAGTTATAAGCATGGTTCAATAGTTCGTGTATGGATTTTCAGAAGGCATAAAATTCGTGGAGGAATAGGCCGTTTTCCCGAGTTATTGCATAGAATGCCCATAGAAAGTTACGTAATTAAGCCCACAAAAATTAAACTGTTCCACATCCCTCTCTCTTCGTGTAAAGACCAATGCATCCCTATCCAAAAACACATACGCATAAAGTAGTGGATCCTATTGGAGGTTGCGTGTTCGCAACATTACCGACAACAAAATCTAGCTTACAGGATATAGAACATATCGAAATAATAATTTAATAAATTTGGGGGGGGGGAGAAATTGAAAAGAACTAGGGTTTATGGATTCTACTAAAAAATTGTATTCACCTTTCAGAGTGAATAGAAACTGAAGGTCTCCACCAGCCTTTTGTCGCCGACGGACATTAGAAGGAGAAATTCCCGATTTTGTCGATAAATCGAAGGAATAAGGAGTCGACATTGTTGATCAAGGACAGAATCAGAAGTAAAGGTAACCCCCGATTACTGTTAACCGAGATAATCCTGTTATCAGTGTCACTTATTTAGGATTTTGTTCATCGTTCTCTTCTCAGATGGAAGAAGACGATTTACCGAGGTGGATTATAACGGCCGGCGATGAACCTTGGGGTCAGAGAGTCATTACATACCAAAAATTCAGCATTATTCAGGATCTTATTTCGGCGCTGGACGAAGACGAGGTTGATTTCATTCGTTAATCTCCCCTGGGCAAATTACTGGATATACCCTCAATGCCGGCGTGGTCAAGAACATTTGGGTTGTTCCTATTGTCCCGTCAGTTAGAAATGAAGCGGAAGAACGAGGTATGGATTCTCTTCGCCGGTCACCCCATTAGGTTCTCTTTGCGAGAGTTCAAGATTGTTACTGGTCTAAACTGTGGGAGGTTACCGGTGGATCTGTCCAAGAAGAGGAAGTCTGCTAACTATCCTATGTATGATAGACTACTTGATAAGACAGAAGATGTCACCGTGGAGAGAGTAATTGCTATTCTGAAAGCTAAAAGAAGCCTGAGTAAAGAGAATCGATTGAGGATGGCATGTCTTGTCCTGGTCGATGGAATCCTCGTTCCAACTGTTCATTACCCTCGTGTATGAGTTGTCAAAGAACATGCAGAAATGACTGAGGATCTAGAGACCTTTATGGAATATCCATGGGGCAGGTTATCTTTTGATATGATGATAACCTCGATAAAGGGTTTAGATTTGCGGAAACTTGCAAAAGCAAATGTCGATGTACAAGGGTTGTTCGCTGCTCTTCAATTAGTGGTTTTGGAAGCTGTCCCAGCAATCGGTGATTGCCTGAATCCCGTAGGTGGAGGAGAGGTGGACTCAGACGATGATTTCATCCCACAACAGCGTCATCATCTTCAATTGAAACTAAGTCATGCGCGTTAGGTCGATGAGGCCTGTGAGGTAAAAGCATTCATCTACCACCATTCGATAGTTGCAAAGTTTAATTCCGTATTTCTCCCTAGATGACTTACATCATAGCTAACATTGATAACTATTAGGAGGATGCCTAGATATAGGTAACTGTGTTGCAATGAAAAGAAGGAATAGAATAGTAACTTAGAGCTAGCTTGATTAAAACGTCAACAATGTTATCAATACTTAGATTATAGTGCTAACAGGTGGGACAGAATAAGCGGAGAAATGGTTAACTACAAATGAGATAATTAGGACTTTGAATTGAAATACTATAATATTACAAAAATCTGCCGATAAATACGTTATCATGCGAACTTAGTCATCCAGTATAATAAGTACCAATAGAATGTTATAGCCATATTCACTCCATTTCTTCTTGCTACCTTACAGGATCCAGTTACATGCATTATTCGGCCGGAGGTTGAATTTGATCCAGATGAGGAAGACCTTAGTTGGGCGGACGACCCAGCTGATCCAAAGGTCGACAAGATCTTGAAACTGATAGCTGAAGGTTTCAAGTTCACGAGTGAAATGTTCACTGGTGGTAAAAAACCATCCGAAATCGCTGTCAAAGTCAAAAAAGGAGAGGCGTTGGTGGGAGGTCCGTTGTTGGCAAGAACTTCAAAGGGAAGGAGAAACGTTCGGTGGCATCTACTTCCACAACCGAGGAAGACAGATTGTCACGACTTCTCGATGAAAAATTAGCAGAGCATGACATCATTCAGAGAGAGTTTTTCAGTGCCATACTCAAGGAAAATAACAAAGCTTTGCTTGCAGCCTTGCAGGACTGGTTTCTTGATAATACTGTTGTAGAGGAACGTTATGCTTCCCAGACGGTGTAGCCGGTGAAAATGAAGGCAATAGGGCGAGGCAGAAAGGTCCAGTTAACGGTTCCAACAAAGATGGAGAGACACAAACTGAAAATCCTGCAAATGTAGGCTGTCATTCCCAAGCAGCGGGGCTGAATGGGGTCCATAGGGACAATGTTAATCATGCTAATACTGTGAACGCGGAAACACCGATTCCTCGGAATCCAACTTCACCTTCGGCTGGGCACGACAACTCCACTGCTGATGACGGGAATCCAGACGAGACCAACGCCTTTGGAATCGAGGTATATCAATTTTTATCATATGAATTATGGGTAACTAAATTGACGGTGGAAAGGAGAGATGGTGGGTAGCTGTCATTGAAAATGTTTATTTTGTTTCAGGTAAATGTTCATGAGCACGAGGATGGTGATGCTGCGCACACTGATAACCAGGACGATGATAGAAGTACTGATGATCCATCACAACCGATGGACGTGGCAGGAAACACCACCCGGGTCCACGAAGTGAGCAAGGAGCAGTCAGTGGAAGAGATTGCTGCATATTATTCAGAGGTTCCATTAATTTTTAGTTAACCTTATCAGCGCTAACTTTCTTATCCATGAGACTTTATTATCATGAATATCTAGCTGTCAGGGTCAATGTAATGTAGGTAGCCTAACTTACGGTGATTAGGAAAGATCTTGTGCAGCTGTTATTGAAGTCCAAAAATTTTGTTTCAGGTCAATGTTCACAAGGACGAGGATGGTGATGGTGCAAACACTGATATCCAGGATGGAGATAGAAGTACTGATGATCTTTCACAACCGATGGTCGTGGCAGGAAACACCACCCGGGTACAAGAAGTGAGTAAGGAGCAGTCGGTGGAAGAGATTCCTGCATATTATTCAGAGGTATCATAAATTTTAGATAACTTATTTAGCGCTAACTTAGTTATACATGATACTTTATTATCTTGAAAATATAGTTCTCATGAAAAATGCTATATGTAGGATAATGTTTGCAAAGGGGGAGACAAAACTCAGACACCATGCGTCGATGAGGGTAAAAAGGGGGTACAATCTGTAAGTTACATGTTATATGTTATAACTTTACTTAAATTTTTGGTTACATTTACAGATTTTCCGATTTAACATGTAATAATGTTACCAATTTTTGTTTTGTTCATATAGGAAATCAATGCTGCAAATATTAACAGTAGTGCCATCGACGGGTCCAATGTCCTAACTCCTCCCGAGGGTGTCAGCCATACTGACAATGATACCATTATCTCGGAGTGAACAGAAACCAGCTCAGCCTTAGTTGTTTATCAGGTTAACATTATTGTCTTGTACGTATGAATATGTAGGTCAGCGTTGCTAATGATTTTACAATTTAATATAAGGGGTTGGAGAGACGGAGAATATAATGGAAGCCGAGGCGGACGCTGATGAGACAACAGCTGAGAAGAAGGTGTGATAATGTTTGGAAGAATAAATTTCAAATTAGATAACAAAGGTATCTGTCATTTTTCATATTTTTCATGCTGGTACAGGGACTAAGTCAAGTTGGAGGTTGTTTCAGCGTTTTGGGGGAATCAATACCTGATTACACTAGAAAAAGCAAGCGCCCCCGTGTTGTTTCCTCAAGGATAGACGAGCGTTTCCAATGTGACAAGAGATTGAAGACACTCATAGGTCATGAAACCGAAGCCGGAGTCGCCAAGGCCAGAAAACTGGACGAGAAAGTTCGATTGGCAATTGGGACAGTAAAAAGGTTTGTCCCTGAACTACTTAACTGGACACCAATTTATATGAGTTGGCTAATTCTGGTTCCTCTGACAGATCACTGAACCTGGGAAATCTGATGATGTTGTCAGCGAAAGACTTCATCGATCTATTAGAAAGAAAGAAAAACACCCCTGCCAAGGTATTCAGTGCGTTAGAAAGAAAGAAAAACACCCCTCACATGAGATAAATAAAACGTATTAAGGGTAACTGTTATTGACGGATCTGGGTTATTGTCAGGTGATGGATGGGCTCATACGGTTTTCGCGCCACATGCTGCGAGTCGACATGGAGGATGGTGTAGGGTTGAGAGTTGAACTTCTAGACACAAAATTTGTTTCTCAGTTAACCAAGTTATACCCCAGGTTCATCAAATCCCCTGCTAGAGAAGAATTCCCTTTCACCAAAACGGTGATAGATATGGTTAATGGCGTAGACGACGTCGACCGTGTGCAATTGTATGAGGAGGCTGACATCGTCTACTTACCTTTCAACTTCAACCAGCGGCACTGGGTGACACTAGCTGTAGATCTGAAAGCCAAAAAGATCTTTGTTTTGGACTGCAACATGGCCCTCATCAACGAAACCAGGCTTGTGGACGAGCTGCAGCCCATAGCCACTATGCTCCCTTATTTATTCAAATTGGTGGCTGCTAATATGGATATGAGTCAAGTTGAGATATCACCGTTTTCTATCGAAAGGGTCATTGGTATCCACCAAATCGATTCCCCACATGATTCTGGTATGTATTCTATTTTCCTTCTTCAAACTCATGCAGTCGGCGGAATAGACGGGTGTAGACAGTTCGAAGTTCAACTACTGGAAAGCGAGACAAAGAAAATGATTTCTGCATTGATCAAGCATTATGCTGTCTAGATACCTCCGGATTCTGCAACAAATATTAGCATGTAACTCCATCTCTATCTGACGTGTGTACTCTCCCTCCTATCATTTGGTTCTGTAGAACCTAAACTGATATGCTTCTCGCTCCCCTGTTCGTTCTTTACTTGTTAAAACTAATTATTTGTCACTGTTTATTTGTATTGTCGCCTCTCAAGCATGGTTTTTGGAACTATTTATTTCAACATTCGCATCGCGAGCACGTACAACCACCCATCGGCTAACTAGATGACACGCTGAATTGATATCTCAATGACAAGATGACGTTATTATCTCAGCATTAATAGTTAACCATCACTTTTTAAGCTGATAACATCGGATTTTGACCATTTTTATGGATCACTTTAATATCTTTTACAGGTGTTTTTACTCCATTTTCAAAGGTTTTCAAAGGATTTCTATGTTTCCGTCAGAACTCTCATAGAGAGACGAAGACCTTCTCACCGTCTGATCACCCTCAAAATTGGACAACTTATAGAAAAATCAACCAGCTTTCAAATGCACTTGGTTTGGAGACATTCAAACGGTTGGACCTCAAGATATTCCACTAGCCCCGGAGCCACTCGAAGACGGCCAGCAAGTCACGTGACCACGGCCAACAACTTATTTCCTGCGGTCAGAAGCTTCCCGACCGCGGCCAACCAGCCAATATTTGCGGTCACATCAGTCCCGACCGCGGCCATCAAGCTCCGAACTAAAGCCCATATATCTGAAGCCCAAAGTCACTCTCAGCCTCAATTCCGGTACCCTAGAGACCATGGAGTATTGGAGACTATAAATACATGTCATTTAGGTCGTTTTTAGAGAGAACCATTCATACTTTACAGAAACCCTTTTCCTTTAACCGATTTTATGAGATTTTTGTAAAAGATTGTTCAAGTCCGAGTTCTTTAATAGAGAAGCATCCTTTATCTCTTTTCTTTACTGTTTTTCATTACTTTTATTAAAACCGATGATGATGTCGACCTCAGCCATGTCTGAGTAGATCTCGAGTTGGGCTTAGGGTTCCCGAAAAGGGCTCTCATAATCGATTAAGACATCTAGGTTTATAGATCTGGGATTTCGACCTGTTCTCTGTTTATTCTTGTTCTTATTGCATGTATGCTTGATTGATCACCTAGTATCTGATCTAGATAGTTAGTGTTGCGAAAGTTTTCATTAAGTATCAGCCCTAGAATGAAACAGGCGATTTTTCCGTAGGAGTGGAAACCTACCTGCGGCGAGATCGTGAGTATTGACGAGTCTTGTGCAGCTCTTGCATTCTCTCCCTTCCAGGGCCAGAGTTGAAACCTACTGGTCAGGGTTACGAGAAACAGTTGGTTATGATCACGACAGTGACGTAGTCATACCACCGTACTCTAGCTCTAGAACCCATATATCGTTATTCGTCAATCCCAATCTATCTACCTTAGTGTTAAAACCGATTATGATCTCTTAAAGTTCCCAAAAGCTCGGCGTTTTTAGCCATAGTTTACAATCCCATCGATTTTTATTTGCTTACTTAAACCTGCATTTCAATTCCATTAGTTCGATATTTTACTTGCTTTACTAGTCTTTTATTCAATATTTTACTTGCTTTATTAGCCTTTCATTCGATTTCTTTACTTGCTTTATAGGATAGATTTATTTGCTTTCTCTTGTTTTAGTTTAATTCGTGACAAACAACCAACATTTAAAAACCAATATAGTCTAGACATAAAGTTAAAAACCGTAGAAGAATACTAGGCACACAAATCTCTGTGGATTCGATCCCTAAATACTACAACTGATTAGCTGTGCACTTGCGGCTTCCATTTGTTTTGTTAAGTGTAAAACTTTTTCCCTCACGCAGTTGACACGACATCAAGTTTTTGGCGCCGTTGCCGGGGGATTTGTTTCGCTGCCTTTTGCTATTTTTCTTGTTTTAACTTCTGTTCTAGACACCTGATCTCTAGTTCTTTCTTAAAAGTTTTTCTGAACTATCTTTCCCTTCTTTTGTTTTTCTCTGAATTGCATGAATACCAGGCGTAGACCTGCAGGAGATATTCTAATTCTAGACGAGATAGACAGACACGAAAGAGAACTTCGAAGACTTAGACGAACGCAAGGGATGGCCAACGACGACCAGCCTGGAGATCCTATTAATCGAAATTTAAATATGGACCAAGACGGGTCCGAACATGGAGAAAATAAAGAGAATGATCACAGAGGAGGTGACCATGCTCGACAAGATGGAGAGGAGGATGAGGTTCCTCCAAGAAACCACCAGAATCGCGATAGAGAAGAGCGTGAAGACCCTGATGCACATATCAATGCAGCCGATGGTGACCACCAAGGAATGCAGCCGAATGGACGCATTAACCGCCCTATTCCGCAAGCAAATCAACACCGAAGACAAGCCAGGAACCATCGCATAGCTGATTTTGATGCACCTACTCAAAATTTTCAGAATCGATCTGCAATTCAAGTACCATTTCCGAACCGGAATGAATTTGAATTCAAGCCTCAAACCATCTCATTGGTGAAGAAAAATCAGTTCCATGGAGTTCCTTCTGAGCATCCAATGGACCATATTGAGCTCTTTGAAGAAATTTGCAGCATGATGAGAACAAATCAAGTTCCACCAGACTATTTAAAGTGTAAGTTGTTCCCTTTTTCATTAGCAGATAAAGCTCACCGTTGGTTGAAATCTTTGCCTGCAGGATCGATTACTAATTGGGAAGAATGTAGAACTGCTTTCCTGAACCACTTCTACACTAAGTCAAGGTCGAATCAGTTGAGAACAAAGATCTCAAACTTTCAACAAGGGCCAACTGAATCTTTCTATGAAGCCTGGGAGCGTTTTAAGGAGTATGAACGTGATTGCCCTCACCATGGATTTCATGGATCAAGCCTGCTGAGCACATTTTACCGAGGTTTGCAACCAAAATACAAACTTTCACTTGATACAGCTAGCAATGGAGATTTTGGACAAAAGACGATAGCCCAAAGAAGAGCCCTCATCGAAAATTTGGCTCAAGCCAATAGCAATGATTGTCCCGAATACGATCGATCGATGAAGCAAGCCGGAACAGACAACAAGGAGATAACCGAGTTGAAGAACATGGTGAGCCAGCTTCTGAAGAGCAACAATTGCCCAATCCATGCTTGTGAGACCAACAATGGCGCAAAAGATGAAGGACCTAGTGATATTGATCACATTAATCAATCCTTTCAAGAAGAAGATGTGAACTATGTAGGAGCACTGGTGCCATATCAAAATCGCTCCAACAATGGTAACAACAACAACTTCTGGAATGCAAATTACAACAATCTCTCTTACCGCAATCCAAATGTGGAGAACCCTCAAGATCAGTACTAGCCACCTCAGCAAAAATCCTTCCAAAACAAGTTTCAAGGTGGAAACTTCAGAGGAATAGTACCATATCAACCGCGACAACCATATAACTACCAAGGTACGGGCTTTAACAATCAATTTTTACAACAGCAGGGAGTCACGACGAACCAGCTATCTTCACAAATAGGTAGACTTGAACAGTTCATCCAACAGCTCGTTATGACGAACGAAAAAGCATCTAAAGACGTGAACGTGAAAGTTGACTGCATGTACAATGATCTAAACGGTAAGTTTGAAT